AACTAACTCATGGAATTTAAAGATAATAGTAAAAAAATTCTGCTTTCAAACATCAATTCAAACATTTTTTCTGTGTTTTGGGGGAGGGACAGGAGGAGATGGATTAACTGGGTGGTGGTCATGTTGCAGTTTGATCCTTCTTAGAAACTAAATTGCAGTTGTGAAAATTGCATTTAACTTTATAATGATTCTAATAGGATTTGGAGCATATCCTAATGGAATAGGTTGTTATCCCTGGAGGAGGAAATAAAATCCCTGTGGACCATTTCAGGCTGATGTGAAATAGGCTTTATGGTAAAATGTCCATTTTAAATACTGCTGGTAATCCAGATTTGTAACTGAAATACAAGCTAGGGATTGTGCCCCCAGCATCCCTGAGAAATGGGTTATAAATGGAGCTGGCCAGGAATGCTGGAGTCAGGATTATTTGAGATTCACTGGGAAGATGTGGCCACTCTGCTAAGTTTGTATTTGTGCCCTTTGGGCTGTGGGGAAGCTTCTGGAACCAGCAGATGCTTTTGTAAGAGGTGCCTGGAGATGCACTCCGTGTCCACTTGGTCATGGCCAGAAGTGTGGGAGGAAAGGGATGGGGAGGAGTGGCAGGGGCTGGGATTTCACTGGCTGACCTTGCAAACACACTCCTGATGTCTAGGGATGGAGGGCACGTGGAGGTGGCTGAGGAAGCAGCAGTGGTTCTTCAGGGCTGTCCTGGACATTTCCAGTGTGGAAATTCAGCCCTCTGCCTGCCCTAGGCTGTTCTGGAGTTCCAGCACTGCTTCAGGAATAGTCCTGGAAGTGTTTCTGTCCTTGGAAGTGCCCAAAGCTGCCCTGGATGGGGCTTGCAGCACCGTGCTCCAGTGGAAGGTGCCCCTGCCCATGGCAGGGGTGGCACTGGATGGGCTCTGAGGTCCCTTCCAACCCAAACCAGTCATGGATTCTGTCCTGGGGGTGTTTGGAACCGCTGGTCGGTCCCGTTCACTTTGGGCTTCTTGGATGCTGTGCTTGGACCAACAGCTGATTTAGTAATGCTTTTTAGAAAGAGAATAAGTATTTAAACATGATCTTTACAACCTGTGTGTCCAAAGGAGACCATTGCTGTGCTCCTCCTGTACAGCAGAGCTACAGACCGCTGGAATTAATTTCCATTTCCTTCTGATCACCTGTACTTGTGGAATGGGATCCATGTCCAGCATCCATTCCTGTTTCCACATCACCTTGGGTGCAGTTCCTGCTGCATGTCTGGAGTTCCTCAGCTCTTCCCATCCTTTTAGAGCTATTGGCTTAAAAAAGCATCTTATTTTTCAAATATTTCACCTTTATTGGGATGTAACTTAGAAGTTTGAATCAATTGCTGATGTAGGACGGATTGGGTTTTTTCCTTAATCTTTTGATCACTGTTGTGATCAAAATATTTTCTTCAATCTCCAGAAGGGTGGCAGGGCTCCCTGGGGGTGTGAAATTCTGTTCAAGTGTTTTGCCTTTTCAGGAGTTGTTCTGTGCTGACACGAAGAGGGGGCTGAACTGCCAAGTTGTCTTTGAAGTTTAATTGTGTGTTTGGCAACAGAGCACACGATCTTCCCTTACAAATCTGGATTTCTGTGGTAATTGGCTCGTTTGCTCACTGGTTATCAATTGAACTTCTCTACCACAAACATCTGTACTTGCATTGTGTTAATGCTAAACACTGACATAGTTAAACCAGAAGAGTGTGTTTGAAAAACATTTATTAATTCATTAACTGGGAAGTAATTGATAAAGTGAGCACTCCTCATGTTATTATCCCTTTGTGAGCAGCTTGGCATTTGCTCCATGAGCCAAAAAAGCGAAGTCACTTTGAAAAAAATAGGGTGTTTCAAATTCTTAATCTCCTAAATCAAAAGTAATTGAGAGTAGGTAGGAGAGTATCTACTTCAACTTCCATTATTGTGTCAAAAAAAATCCTGCTTCTTACGATTCAAAAGTAATGCCTTTTTCTGGATGATGTCCCAAATTGGAGCAATATCAGTTGCCAAAGATATTTGAGTTCTTTCCAAATGTCTTCATTACAAGTTAAACACTAGTGGGGAACGCAGAGTCAGAACTTTGCTGTGGTACAGTTTGGGCATTCAGTTCTTCCCTGTGAGGGTGGCAGGCCCTGGCACAGGGTGCCCAGAGCAGCTGGGGCTGCCCCTGCATCCCTGGCAGTGCCCAAGGCCAGGCTGGATGGGGCTTGGAGCAGCCTGGGACAGTGGAAGGTCCCTGCCCATGGCAGGGGTGGGATGAAATGATCTTCCAGGAACTGTCCAGCCCCAACCAGGCTGAGATTCCCTGATGAGTTTTTCACGTAAGTTTTTGTGCTTTTAACAGTCGCTGCTGCTGGCTTGTGTCTCTTTGTGTTCTTCTGACAAGAATAATGTGTGGCTAAGGAATTCAAACTCACCTGTAATGAATGTTTTGGAAATGGAAGCATTGTACATTCATGGAAAAACAACTTTCCCAATTCTTGTATTCCCTTTTTTCAACTCTGCAAGCACTGCAGGAATCGATCGTGCGTGCGAATACAGCCGGAGACAGAGATGGAAGGGAAATGAGAACATAAACTATTGATCAGGCAGGCTGAACAAAATGAGTCATTAGTTAAAAAGGGCTAACGATGAGCAGGCAATGATTGTCCCAGGCTGGCAGGGGATGATGCATGTGGGAAGGGCAGAGGCAGAGCGATGGGTTGGGTGAGGGATTTGCTGCAGTGCTGCCATGACATTTATGCCATTTTTCAAGGCACTGCTGAGACACAGCTGAAATTCCATGTAAATGATTGAAACTCCACAGGCTCCGGAGATGGATTCAGGCTGGAGCACGTCCAGGGGGGTGTGAGGAATTGTCACAGCAGAGCAGAGCAAACACGACTGCTTGAACCACCCAAAATAAGGCTGGGTTAGGGGAAGGGAGGGAGCACAGCTTGTAATAAATAACAGTGCTGAGGATAAATACCAGGGAGGGATAAAAATAATTTTCATAGAGAATAAATTACAGCAATTTGGTGGCAAATAAATTCAGAAGAGAGTTTTTAAATGTCAGAGTTGTGTGTGGTGGTAGCAGCCGTCAGAGGGTAAGCACAGAAATATCTGAAACCTTTTTAAGGTGGAATTTATGGTGTGTTTGGTAAATTTCTGGGAAGTTGGTACGAAAGGGATGTCTGAATGCACAGGCAGCTGGGCTCGGCCCCATCCAGCTTTTTGCTCCTGTGTGAGAGTTAGAGCAGTGAATGTATGTTTTTGTGTGGGTTTGCACCCTTACCTGAGAGGTAAACCACCTTCTTACTCTAAAGTATTTCCATTTATTAATGTTCTCTTTATTCATTTATAATCCAAAACATAAGGGGGGCTGGGGGAGCTGCTTGCCTCCAGCTGTTTTTACAAGTATTAAATCCACCTTAGAAACCTTTTGGATCATTTCAGAGGAAACATGACCTAGGATTCCTTATCCACAGCACCAAATAAACCCCATTGAGAGGCCAAGTGTGTAAATTGTTTGTCTAAATCCCGTGGCCCTTCCATATTGACTTTCTTTGCTAAATATTAAAGGGCAAAAGGCTGCTTTGGGCTTTCCTGGAACTCCAGCAATCCAAGCTGCCAACACAAGTAAGAGAATTGCCCTGTGCTGGGAGCATAATAAACACAAATCAACGGGTGGGTGTTCTCTGAAGAGGATACTCAAGGAGTAAGTGCCTGCAGGGCTTGGTGCTGCTGAGCCAGATGAGTGCAGAGGCCCTGGATGCAGCTGGAGGCTCCTGTGGGAGAAACTGTGACTTGTCTGTGCACTGGTCACTTGGGGCTGGTGTCCCCAAAAAAATCTGCATTCAGAGTTTGTGTGATTTTAAATATATTTGATGGAATTGATCTCACTCTGGGGACTTCAGGGCATACAGAAGGCAGCCAAGACCCAGAGTAGCACCTTTGGTGCATGTTGTAAGTGAAGAACTTCTGTTCTTCATGGAATTTATGTTCAGCTTCTGCTCTGCTGTGTTATAGATACACAGCTCTCCTATATACCCATGAAATGTCATCATGGTGGTACAAAGGCACCTGGCTGCTCCTGGACATCCCATTTCCCTGGCTTCCACAGGCCAGAGGAGAAACTCCTGGGCTCAGTGCAGCACTCTCTGTTTGATAACCTCAGTTCCTTCCCGTTTTGTGTCCATTCATTTTTAAAAGTACTTTTTGATATAATTGTAGCTTTTGCTTTCCTATTGATTCGAACCCCCTGAGGTTTAACTTTGCAGTTTATACACCTCAGTTCCATTTCTTCTTTCATGTGGTCTCAAGAGGTCATTCCCAATTGGCTGGATCCAAGGATGGGTTGAGTTGGAGGGGACCTTAGAGATCCTGTCATTCCCAGCCCTTTGCTGTGGGCAGTGACACCTTCCACTGGAGCAGGCTGGCCCAAAAGTGGTTCTAGAGGAACTCCCAGCTGGAGTCAGTGTCGTGACACCTTCCACTGGAGCAGGCTGGCCCAAAAGTGGTTCTAGAGGAACTCCCAGCTGGTGTCAGTGTCGTGACACCTTGTACTGGAGCAGGCTGGCCCAGAAGTGGTTCTAGAGGAACTCCCAGCTGG